TAGCCACAGGTACGATACCTGGTGAGGAGCGTTTCTGTCCGGGGCTCTTGGGGCCTCTACTGAATGTGATCCCCGGTGTGGGCCCGGGGAAGGTGTGGCCCCCCAGCTCCCGGCCTAAAGCACGGTGCAGACTCAGAGCATGAGGACTGGGTTCTAGAGCAGTCTGACCCTGAATGGCCATGTGGCTTCGGGTAAGTCCCCAGTTGCCTCCTCGGGCCTCAGTTTTCCCCATCTGTGAAACGTGAGAATTCGCTTTCGAATGAGCCTGTGTGGATGGCCTGCTGTGCTCCAGATGTTGGCAGGTAAAGGTCAGGCCTTGGATCTGAGGGCATCACACCCTGGCAGCGCTGGCATGGCTCCTGGTCCCCCTAGTTCTGGCATGACCCCCAAACACCCATCCAAGGGCCATGTCTTCCTGCACTACGGGTGCTAAAGCAGCCTTTCCTTTAGGGCGAACAGCAGGGATTGCGCCTGTGTTTGCTTACGTCCTTGCTGGTCAAATAAAAATAGTCCTTTGTCCACTCCCGTCTAGTTAAACCTTTTAATTTTTATTTTACTGATCTGTGAAATTCAGAACTGTAACAGCCAGGCTCTAAGGAGGGGAGGACTCCGATCAGGAATGAACCAACCCCAGGATAACCCTGTCCCCTGTCTGGCTGGTGAAAGCTGCCGCCTTGAGAAGTTCATTGAGCAACTCCTTGCAAAGTGATGGATTTAAATACGTACTCAGTGGAATGGAGTCACCCCTTCTGCCTCTGTCAGTGTGATTTTAGACACAGAGTCCTTCTTCCACCTTCTGCCAGGGCTGCTGAGGTCTGTGCTGAAATCTCCCCTTCGTGGAAGTGGGGGACAGACTTGGTCCAGGACCCCCTGGGCCCCACAGCGGGTCATGCAGGCAGGGAGCAGCCGACAGCTGCTGTCAGCGACGGGCTTCCCTCTGCGCCTCTGCCAGGCACTCGGCTGGCCGCCCGTGATCTGCCACGGAGGTCGCCTTAGCAGGCGTCTGATGGCGCAGATGTAAATCATAACGGGACAGGCTCCCTCCGACAGAGACAGCATCTGAACATCCCCACCAAGGCAGGAAGTCTCGTGACTAATTCCCGAAGACGGTGCAGGGTCAGGGCCAAAGAGCTGGTTAATTGAATGGTAGCTAATTCATTTATAATTACTCATATTCTCACTCTCTTTTCTCTCTTTATCTTATAGAGTCTAGCTAGCCCTTTGGAGCTGGGCTGGGCCTTAAGAAATCTGTAAGGAAGCTGATGGGGCAAGAGCAGGGTTTGAGCTTTGACTCTGTTTATTAGCAGGTTCAAGCCACTTCACTTCTGGACCTCAGTTTTCTTATCTGTAAAATGGGCATTGTGAGGAGTCAAAGTCTGTAAAATATGGAACGCAATGCTCAGCCCGTACTGAGCATTCTGTAAATGCTGACTATCATCACTCAAACCCATTCTCTCCTTTAACAGGTTCATTTGTTTGTTCAGCAAGTATTTATTAGACATCCAAATGCAGGCACTGTACAGTGCAGCTCCTTCAAAAGTAGCGAATGCAAGTATTCCAGTGAGTGTATGCTCATAGCCAAACAGCCCAACACAAAATCCGTGACATTTTGCTATGAAGAAAGGAAAGCAGAATAAGGGCTAGAGTGACTGTGGGTGGAAGGTGGGGTTTCTCCTGTAGACAGTACAGTGGTTAAAGAGACCTAAATAAACAGAGGAGTGAGCCATGACAACTCCTGGGAGAAAGCCATTCCAGGCAGAGGGAACAGCAGGTGCAAAGGTCCTGAGGTAGAACTATGCCTCATGGGCTCAAGAGGGAAACCAGGAGACCTTCCTCCTTCCCTCCCTTCCATATCTGTCATCTATCTATCTATCTATCTATCTATCAATAGATCTATCATCTATCCATCTGCCTATCATCTATCTATCTATCTATCTATCTATCTATCTATCTATCTATCTATCTTTCTATCATCTATGTATCCAAACCTTGAGTTCATTCTGATGCCTTCAAATCCAGTCCAAAGCCTCAGGGCTCATTTCGGCCTTCCCACGCCTCATCTGTAACATCTCGCTCTGATAGTAGAAAAACCTTGCTCTTGCTGTATTAGTTCCACCTGGTACGCACAAAAGCTCCTTTCAGAATTGCTCACCCATACCCTGTGACAAGCAGATAGAACCGGAATACCCTATTTGTGTGCAATTCTTTTTCTCTTTAGCCTTAGCGTCCTGTCAGAATAATGATTCCATAGCTACTTAGGCTAGTTCTTTTCTTCCTCACCCCTTTCAGTGTGGTGTTGTTATTCACCTGTAATATAGTTGAGTATGTGTTGCTGTTTATATTGCACAGGCACACACACACACACACACACACACACACTCATGGTTGATTTTAATTGTTTACTTTTGGGGTATGTGAGATACTATCTTGGTTCTGAGAGTCGGAGTTGTACAGATAGACTCAGAGGAATGTGCATCCCTCTTGTCCCTGCAGCTCGTTCCATCCCCATCTCCCATCCTTCCTACCCACCTCTGTAGGTAACCAGTGTTTTTAGTTTCTGGTTTATCCTTCCTGTGTTTCTTTCTCACAGATGAAGCAGTACATGTATATTTTCTTATATCCCCCTCTTGCTATGTGGAGGGTGAAAGTACTGTAGGTGTTCTTTCACACGTTGTTTTCGCACTTACTAATATCTCCAGGCGATCACTTCACGTCAGTTCATAGAGAGTTTTTGTAAAGAGCTTTATTAACTGTGGTAATCAGAAAAAAAGACTTATCCAGCAGCCCAGATGTCAATTTTAGAATTCAGTAAGCCTAGTGACGATGATGTTGATTGGTGATAAATAGCATAAGCATTATCATTAGTTGAGCATCTACTGTGTGCCATGCTCTGTGCTAAGCATTTTACATACATTACTAGAGGCCCGGTGCACGAAATTTGTGCAGGAGCAGGGTACAGGGGTGTTCCTCAGCCTGGCCTGCACCCTCTCCAATCCAGGACCCCTCAGGAGATGTCCGACCGCTAGTTTAGGTCTGATCCCACAGAGATCGGGTCTAAACCAGCAGTTGGACATCCCTCTCACAATCTGGGACTGCTGGCTTCTAACCACTCGCCTGCCTGCCTGATCGCTCCTAACTGCTCTCCTCTGCCAGCCTTATTGCCCCTAACTGCTTTCTCCTGCCAGCCTGATGGCCCCTAACTGCTTCTGCCTCGGCCCCCGCCACTGTGGCTTTGTCCAGAGGATGTCCGGAAGACGTCCGGTCTAATTAGCATATTACCCTTTTATTAGTATAGATCTCATTGACTCCTTCCTAGAGCTCTGTAGGTAGGTGTTAGCTGCAATTTATTGAGGAAAGGGAGGCTCGGTGATATTTAGAAACGTGCCCCAGGCCATTAAAAGTGGACCCACAATTTGAACTCTGCCCCCAGTTTGTGCTTTGTGAAGGGCACACCAGCACTGACAGCAGTTCCAGGGTACCACGGAGCCATGTCCCAGGCCTGCAAACCCTTTTGATTGTGGATCAGCTGCTGCTCACGGTGGCACGCAGCCGATGGCAGGAACATGAACGCAATTTATTGCCTGTTTGTGCCAAAGAAACGGCCCTTCCTTTTTGAGGATCGTGACTCCTGCCTCTAAGACAGGCGACGAGAGGGATGCTCGCTGGGATCAGCTACCTGGGATGCAGTAATAGATCCCATCTCACACCTCGTCAATCGCCGGGCCAAGCAGCCAGCGCCATTAACAGGAAAGCACATTACACCACAGGGCCGTGCGTTTAGCGGGACACTCAGTCAAGCCCAAGCCACAGCAGCTTCTCTGAAAACTGTTTGTGCGGCAGAAGTGGAAGAAGAATTTCTTTAAGCAGGAGTCTGGCTTCTGTTTCGACAAGTGATAGCCTCTGGCAGGGGGGCAACACGACGGAGCTGGCTGGGAGCGTGGCTTCCAAGTCTGAGTGCCCGGCCCTCATGCCAGGGCCAGGGTTTCTAGTTGTGTGACCTTGGGCAAGTCACGTCACCTCTCAGAGCACACCTGGGATGTGGATGAGAACCAGACCCATCTTTGTCCTGGGTCCCCGAGACTGCCCCGCGGTTCAGCGATGTGCTGGGTGGAGTCATAGAACTCAGCCTATCATTTGTTACAGCACAGGAGAGCGGTGAATGGAGTGAGGGCCAGAGGAAGCCAAGTTCAAACTTCCGGGCTTCCTCTCCCAGGGGCATCACGCAGGATGCAGTAACCCCCCAGTGACAAGTCGTGACAATGCGTGTAACATTTTCTATTGGGGAAGCTTGTTAGAGACTCGGTGCCCAGGGTTTTTACTGGGAGCTGGTCACACAGACACCCTCTCCCAAACTCTCAGAATAAAAGCAGGTGTTCGCATACATTGCGCTGTTTGCATATCTGGGCGCAGCGAGCCACTGTTATGAGAATGGAGAGAACCCTGCCAAAAGCCAGGTTCCCAGATGCCAGCCAACCAAGGGCCACGCTTGCCAGCCAGCCTTTTTGAGGATAGCAGCCTCGGGCCTGTTGAGTGAACCCCTTCCTTGCACTGCCCCATCGGTGGCTGCTGGGTGGATTAAAAGAGATGATCCCCGTGGAGCGCTGGCCGCTCCGTCTAGTGTCAGAAGCGCTCAGTGACTGTAGGGAATTACTGCGACAGCCAGGCGATGAGTCTGGAATGGCTCATTAGCACCTTGAAAACACGCTCCATCCATCATCCATCTACTCACCCGTCGCTTCCTGGGCGGCACATGTTGAGTGAGCCCCGCTGCTGCAGGTGCTGTCGGCTCCCTGGGACTTGGGGAGCAGCGGGAGCAGCCGCTCCCTTCCCAGAGGGTGATGCCCGTGGGCTTCCAATCGGGCGGGTGTCAGGGGTGGGTGGTGGTGGTAAGTACCTTCTGGAGGCTTCCAGGTAAATGCACAGGGTCAGCGGGGTGGGTGTGTCGTGTCGGAAAGCGTAACCTCCTGACGTCTTGCTGTTTGTCCTGTGTCCTCCTGCAGCCAAGGTCAAGTCGAAATGCGGCCCGACCTTCTTCCCCTGTGCCAGCGGCATCCACTGCATCATCGGCCGCTTCCGGTGTAACGGGTTCGAGGACTGTCCCGACGGCAGCGACGAAGAGAACTGCAGTAAGTGGTCCCCTGTTCACTCCAGCCGCCCCCCGCCTACGTGCTGGCCATTCTCAGCGCTGGCTTCCTCCGCCACAGGCTCCGGCGTTCTCTGCTGAGCCCCAGACTCCGTTCTTTACCGCTTCCGGCTTGTGTCGGTGCTCAGCTGCCATTCATCAGGGCTCTCCTGAGTGCACGGGGCCTTGGTGTACTTTGTTTTCAGTGCTGACAATAGCGGTGCAAATGCAGGTGTGTGATCCCTGTGATCAGGTCAGGCATCTGAGGTGCAGAGAGGGAAACGAGCCCATCCAGGGTCACGCAGCGCACAGGTGGCTGAGCCAGTTCCAGGCTCATTCAGACTCTCCTCTGAGTGACTCTCCCGCTCGACACCCCAGGTCTGTGCGCTTGCGTTCCTTCTTACTTTGAATTCTTTTCAAAAAAAGATGTTTCTAGCCTGGCCGGCGTGACTCCGTGGTTGAGCATTGACCTAGGAACCAGGAAGTCACGGTTGGTTTCCCAGCCAAGGGCACATGCTGGGGTTGCAGGCTTGATCCCCAGTGTGGGGCATGCAGGAGGCAGCCGATCAATGATTCTCTGTCATCATTGATGTTTCTATCTCTCTCCCTCTCCCTTCCTCTCTGAAATCAATAAAAAAATATTTTTTAAAAAAGAAAGATGTTTCTATATTAATTATACACATACTAGAAAGATATGTTTTGAAAAACATTCAAACAGTATAGAAAGCTAGAGGGGTTTTTTTTGTGACCACCCTGATTCCTTTTACCTGCTGTATACTATTCCTCAGTATGGACACAGACACCCCCCCACCCTTTGTTCTCTCTACCCCAGCTTGCCTCTAAGCGCTCTCTGTGTTGAGCGTCATACTCCTCCTCGGCCTGGATACATGCATCCCCTTCCTTGCAGCATCTCTGTGTCCAGAACCACTTCACACACAGCGGCCTCAGTGACCCTCAAGCGTGCCTTCCCCGCCCCGTACTGTCCCATCTCTCCCAGCCGGTTGCTTTGTGCCTGCTGCTGGCCATGCGGGTGGCTGCTTGCTGTTTCTTCTTCGCTTTCCCCTCAGGTGTTAGACTACTGGAGCCCTGGTCGCTGTATCTGCTCTGGACAAATTTACCCATTTATTTTCTGTGTCTGCATATTTTAGTAACATTTTTTCTTCTGACTATTAATAAAAGAATTTACAAAATATAGGAAAGTATAAAGAGGGAAACGACACTGCCCAGAATGAAGCACTATTAATATTTGGGCTATTTCATGCCGGCCCTTTCTCTCCCCCGCCCCCTCCATCTCGCTCTGTCCTCTCTCTTGTATGTTTAATTGAGATGTCCTCTTTCCTGTGACCATTTTCTCCTGTTATCAATTTTTTCAAAATGTAAGTTTCAGCGACTTCCATGACTGGATAAATTGATTTTCCCTCATCCCATCGGTTCTATTTTAAGTCCCTGAAGAGGAGGTGGCTGTCTCCTGTGTTATTTATGTCTTTCCAGGGAGCTGTCATGGCTCCACCCTCACAGCAGGGACAGAGGGAGCTCATAACTCTCTCCTGTGCCTTCTCCTCTTGCCTTATTTCACCTTCTGGGTCTCAGATGGCAGAAATACAGCCCAGCCACTCGATTACTGAATGGTTAGTGCAGTGGCCGAAACCCACCTTCCCACTGACAGGGTGTGGCTGGCTGAGCAGGTGAGGTTGAGCTGGCGTGTCTGGCCTGGTCTGTGTTTTCCCTAATTAGGCAGGAGGTGGGCAAGCTCCATGACCTCTTTGCACAGGGATTTCCTTGTCTCCAGAAGCAGTGCTGAGAGCCTGCTCCTGGGGCTGTTGTGAGAATTAGATGAGATAATATCTGAAAAGTGCTTAGTGCAGTGGCTGGCACATGGTAATCGCTTATAAAAACATAGAGTGAGCCCAACTGGTGTTGCTCAGTGGTTGAGCATCAACCCATGAATCAGGAGGTCAGGGCTCAATTCCCAGTCAGGGCGCATGCCCGGGTTGCGGGCTCAATCTCCAGCAGGGGGTGTGCAAGAGGCAGGTGATCAATGATTCTCATCATTGATGATTCTCTCTCGTCATCTCCCTTCCTTTTTGAAATCAATAAAAATATATTTTAAAAAACAGAAACAAAACCCCCCCCAAAAATGTATAATGACTTAAAACTATGAGAGATTAAGGGGAAGACCATAATTACTAGGATTTCATCTTTGGCTTCGGATGTCCAAGGACATTCTTTTTTTTTTTAACACTGTAAACATTTTTATATTTAGAATTAGCCAGCTGGACTCAGTTTAGATCATGCCGGTTTTGTTGACAGCATGCACCACATCCTAGTGGGGAGCCGGTGGAACATATGCCTCTTCTCGCCATCAGGCCTGGTCAGGGTGCTGACCTTGGCCACCTCAGTGTCATAGAGCTTCCTCACAGCCTGTTGGATCTGGTGCTCGTTGGCCTTGACATCCACAGGGAACTCAAGTGTATGATTGTCTTCTCTCTTCTCCATGGTGGACGCGGTGGTCAGGGGGAAGTTGACGATGGCACAGTGGGCAGGCTTGTTGCTCCTGGGGTGTTCTTCTGAGGATATTTGAATGCATTGTCTTGGGCCCTCAGAAGCTGGGTGACAGGCGAATCTTGTTGGTTCTTTTGTGGCTGTGGACGCCTTTCGGCACTGCTTTCGTTGTCTTCCAAGCCTTTGCTTCGGCTTTGGGAGGGCAGGGGCTTCCTCCTTCAATTTCAGCTCCATCTTCATGGAAAAGACATGCTTCCGTTATCGTTCATTTCGTGTGTCTGAGCTCGATCTCTGCCTCCTGCTATGGGGATCTTATAATCTCAGGGGGAGAATTCTAGATGTTATATCTACAGCAGGTGTCCTCAAACTATGGCCCGCGGGCCACATGCAAATACAAATATTATATTTGTTCCCGTTTTGTTTTTTTACTTCAAAATAAGATATGTGCAGTGTGCATAGGAATTTGTTCATAGTTTTTTTTTAAACTATAGTCCGGCCCTCCAACGGTCTGAGGGACAGTGAACTGGCCCCCTGTTTAAAAAGTTTGAGGACCCCTGCTCTACAGGGTGTCCCAAAAAATGTATACACACCTTAACAGCCGAGAGCTCAATTTTGAAAATGAAATGTATTTTAATAAACACTACCTTTATAATTCTTCAAAGTGTGTGTATACATTTGGGCAGACACCCTATATATTCATAGGTCTATAATAGAGAGTTATCCAACGGCAATTAAAAGCAAGTGGGACACATTATAGAAGGTACATTCTAAATGACTGCCATGTTACATACTCCCTGCCGTGGTTAAAGACTCCGTGTGATTTAAATATGTGGATATTGGTCTTTAATTATTGAAGTGAGTCAATTATATCCATTCCAAATTAAGCCAGCATTTTCCTTTGACTTATCTACCATCTAAAAATACGGATTCTAACTCACTCTTTTGAAAACTGGTAAATAAAAGGAAAGAATTAAGCACTTACCCTCCCTTTCCCATATGATTTGCACTTCTGAGTAATTAAATACCTGACTTGGAAAGTTTTCTTTTAATTGAAGAATAACAACTAAAATAGAAGAATGAGTGAATGAGGGTCTCTCAATTTTGTAACCGCTAATTAAGAATGGGGTCACCAGTGGCCACGAAACCTTGAGGTGAAAAATTGATGCAGGGCTTTACAATCGATGGACGAGGCTGGAAACGACTGAAACCCGCAGACAATCTCCCCACAGATGGCGAATCAATATGGTACCACTTCCGGTGGAGTGGAGAACCCATCACTTTATAGATCCACCTGCCAGCGATTTTCAACCTTCTTCATCTCACGGCACACACAAGCTAATTACTAAAATTCTGCAGCACTCCCAAAACTAGATTATATCTTTTGCCAATCTGACCAAAAAAAAAAAAAAAAAAAGGTATAATTTCGAGTCATTCACACCGGATGGCTATAGTTGTGTTGGCTGTTGTCAGTTTTTTATTTGACAGTCTAAGGGGAAAAAGTCTGTGCCCTTGACCGACTGTCAGGGATTGCATGTTTTAAAAATTCTTGCGGCACACCGGTTGAAAATGGCTGCTTTATGTTATAGTTGTCTTTAGTGCATCTACATTAAAAACTCTCAAAGACAGGGTTTTGATGTTTGCTTTGAACGTTCAAATACATTTTAAAGTGCTCCAGAGGCAAAAAAAAAACAACAACAGTCAGGGCAAGAATAGTTACCAAGATAGTTACTATTTTGGTTGCTGTCCCTTCATTCCTGATTGTTGCAAGTCTCCTGCTGGTATCATTTCCTTTCTGTCCGGAGAACTTCCCGCAGCAATTCTTTTAAAGCAGGGCTGCTGGCACCCGGTTCTCTTCATTTCCCTTCATCCGAGAATGTCTTTATTTCGCCGTCATTCCTCGAGGATATTTTTACTGCATATAGAATTCTGGGTTGACAGTTCGTTTCTTTTCTTTAAGCATTTTAAAAATGTGGTGCCACTTCCTCTGGCGTCTACGGTTTCCAGTGAGAAGTTTGCCGTCATTCCGATAGTTTCTCCCTAGAGAAACTATCATTTTTTCTCCGGCTGCTTTGAAGATATTTTTTCTTTAGTTCCAGCAGTTAGATTATAGCGTGTCTGGGTATGTGGATTTCTTTCGAGTTCATCTGGTGAGGGTTCTATTTGAATTGGAAGATTTTTGTCTTTTTCCATACTTAGTACATTTTTAGCTATTATTTCTTCAAATATTTTTTTTTAAGTACTGCACTCTTTCTCTTTTTCTTGTGGGGTTCTGGCAACACAACTTTAGTCCTTTTGTTAATGTCCCACAGGCCCCTGAGGCTCTGCTTATTTTTTAAATCAGTGCTTTTGTCTTTTTATTGTTTGGATTGGATAATTCCTATCTTTTGTCAAGTTTACTTTTTGCTTTCAAGCCCATATAGTGTGGTTCTTTATTATTTTGGTTACTACATTTTGTTCTAAAATCTCCTCTTGGTTCTTCTTTCTAGCTTCTGCTTTTTGCCA